GCTGTGTAGTCCCAGTTATGTAGCTAGTGACTCACTTTCTACATCTTCATTTCTCTTACAAAGTCATGTCTGTGTGAACTAGAAAAAGAAATTAAAATACCACCTAGGTCTTTCAGTTTCCTACTTAAAATGTCAGAGTCTCTGGAGACACATTCCAGAGCTTTACGGGCAATGTCTGCCCTAATTGGCCACAGAAGTGAGAGGATTTGAGCCAGGATATGTCCAGCAGGAGTCTGAGTACACAGGCAATGAGTTGGCTGGGCTGTAACTGGGCGGGGAAGCAGAAAGTCCTTGGTTATACAGGCGAAGAGTCAAGACCAAGAATCTAAGCTGAGAATGGGGTGACGGCAGGTCAGGAGCCATTAAAAAAAAAGAAGAAGAAGAAGAGAATGAGGTTAGAGTGTAGAGTCTGCAAGGGAGACAGACAGATGCTAGGACAGCAGGCCAGCATGGGTCAGTGGGCTTCCTGTGACCCAGCCTTGTCTAGTTCTCTTGTTTCATCTTTCACCATGCCCCTTTCATGCTCCACTCCAGCCACGCTAATAAATTACTAAATGTTCCCCAGATATGCTAAACCATTTCATACCTCCACCCCTCTTTTCACACTGCTCTCTTCCCTCTGTCCACCTGACAAATATCTACTCTATTTTTCCCGATTCTGCTTAAATACCTTCACTATGAAGCCTTCCCTGCTTCCACCACAGCCTGCCTCCATTCATCTTTTTTGCCTTCCCCACATGTGTACCTGTTGCCACATGTATCTTGACCTTCATAGTATTGATAAGCAGTATGACTTTGCACCATAGCTCTCTGGTGTGAGATATGTCACATTACTATATTTTTCTAAATCAAATTTAGCAAATATTAATTTCCAAGTGCCAGGATGTTGATACACTCACTATCTTTATGGGTGCCTCTCCCTCTGTAGTCATACCCAGAATCTTAGGGTCATACCCAGAATCCCAGGGGCCTAGCACAGTCCATAAAATGTGGGAAATGGCCTTCTGGTCTTTAACACACCTCCAGGACAATGTTTTTTTTTGTTTGTTTTTTAATGTATTATGGGGGTACAAGTATTAAGGTTACATATATTGCCCATGCCCCCACTCCCCCCTCGAGTAAGAGCTTCAAGCGTGTCCATCCCCCAAACGTTGCACCTCTTACCTCCAGGACAATGTTGAATAGAAGTGGCAAGAGCAGCTGGGTGCAGTGGTTCATGCCTGTAATCCTAGCCCTCTGGGAGGCTGAGGTGGGAGGATTGCTTGAGCTCAGGAGTTTGAGACCAGCCTGAGCAAGAGCGAAACCCCATCTCTACTAAAAATAGAAAGAAAAAAAATAGCCAGGCAACTAAAAAGAGAAAAAATTAGCTGGGCATTGTGGCATGTCCCTGTAGTCCCAGCTACTCAGGAGGCTGAGGCAGGAGGATTGGTTGAGCCCAGAAGTTTGAGGTTGCAGTGAGCTAGGCTGATATGGCACTCTGGCCCAGGCAACAGAGCAAGACTCTGTCTCAAAAAAAAAGAAGAAGTGGCAAGAGCAGACATCTTTGTCTTGTTCCTGATCTTAGGGTCAAAGCATCTAGTCTTTTACCACTACATATGAGGCTAGCTGTGGGTTTTTTATAGAGGCTTTTATCAGGTTGAGGAAGTTCCATTCTATTCCTAGTTTGTTGAGTGTTTCTATTATGAAAGGGTAAGCAGGTGTGAATTTGTTCCTCCACACTGAGTTATAAGAAATGTCACATTGCCATAGTTTTAGCCCCTTGTGTCTTGCAACATTGGCAAGACAGTCCATGCTCAGTCAAGTCTTAGAAGGGTGACCAACCATATCAGTTTGCCCAGAACTGAGGGGTTTCCTGGGACACAGGACTTTCAGTGCTAAAAATAGGCAAACCAGAACAGTTGGCCATCCTGAGTCTTAGACAAACATTAGTTTACAAACCTTCTCCTTACTATATTATAAACTCCAAGAGGACAAGGAACATATCTAATGATTTTCTATGTATCCACATCTAGTGCTTAGAACATAATAGACACTCAGTAAAATTTTTAATAAACAAATTCACAAACTAGTGCATGAATGAATCAGTATAAAACTAGAAGGTAAATAATAATAATAATAACCCAAATCCTGAGCCCTGTCACAAAAGTTACCTAAGCCAACTGAAATGGAGTGCCCTGCAACTTCCTAGTTATCCCTTCCTGGCATAAAGAGGCCATGTCCTCAGAGCAGGGCAGATTCCCCCCATGCACACATACACCATGATTTCAATATCATTTATTTCCAATTTGATGGGTTTGGTAAGCATCAGGCAGACTTTCCATCACATTTTGGATTTGTTCTTCAGGAAGACAGCACACCTCCAGATATGAGCAAAATGTTAAGAAAGCATGAACTTCTGAAGGTACCTATAAAGCTCTTGGCACAGTTCCTGATCAGCATTCTATTAAAGTTTGTGATTATAATTATGATTATGATTAATTTTCCATGCCCAAATCACCTGCCCCTCCCTGAAAACTTTCTAGTGAGGATACACCATGCCCTGAGAATTATCAGTCAAGTCCACCCCACAAAGAGGTCACCAACCACAGGGAGAGTGTACAACTTTTTCTTGGAGATTTTAACAGGTTTTCAGCCCCTAGCTGGTGCCTACCAGACGTCCTCCGAGTTGCATGCTGTACAGAATGATGATACTGCTCTACAGTGTTCAGAGCACCCCCCTACCCCACTCCAGCACATTCCCTCTGAGGTATAACTCTAATGCTACAGCAGGTATTTTCTGCCTCACTATTGTCACTTTCTACTTATCTTCCACCAGACAGATATTCCTCTTCCCCCTTAAGATCTTTTTCCCTTATTGCCTTTCTTCTTATATTATTTTCTTCCAACTTTTCATATAAGTTAGAGTGTGTAGAACTAGTGTGTTTTCTTTCTTCTTATGTAGCAGGGAACTGTTACACTTTGCACCAGATGTAACTGATGATCACCCCTAGCAAGAGGACAAGTTTTACAGATGGTTGTAACAGTTCTGACTCCATATTTCTTGGAGTTCTGTGGTTTTCCTTGAAAAACCACCACAGAAAATTGCCTCATTTCCATGCCTCATTTAAAAAGGGTGCACCTACAAAATATGCTTAGAAATCAGCTTATCCCTTCTTACCCAAATGCTAACCTCTGTCATCTCCATGGCAAATGGCAAAGTGCTACCATCTGTTCTCTGTACCCTTCATCCACAGAGTCTCTGCCCCTAGAATTCTGACCCTGCTTTTTGTCCTGTGACTGGCTGAATTAATCTCCAGGGCCCTGTCCCCTACCGGCCTCCTTGTTGTACCACAGCTTTCCTCTTCCTGCTCTCTCCTCCTCCTTTCACTGTGCAGGCTGCTTCACCACATTCCTAACCCTCTCTGGGCATTCCAGGGATATTCCCCAGTCAGTCCATTCTAACTGCAGTCATTAGCAACACAACCAGACTTTATCACCCTCAAAATAAGACCTGAATTTCTATAACACCCCATACAAGTCTCAGTTCACCCCAAACAAGACTCTGTTTTTAAGAATTATAATTCTTGGCCGGGCACGGTGCCTCACACCTATAATCCTAGCACTCTGGGAGGCCAAGGCGGGTGGATTACTCAAGGTCAGGAGTTCGAAATCAGCCTGAGCAAGAGTGAGACCCCATCTCTACTATAAATAGAAAGAAATTAATTGGCCAACTAATATATATACAAAAAATTAGCCAGGCATGGTGGCACATGCCTGTAGTCCCAGCTACTCGAGAGGCTGAGGCAGACGGATTGCTTGAGTCCAAGAGTTTGAGGTTGGCTAGGCTAGTCCTAGTTGGACTAGGCTAGTCTAAGAGTTTGAGTGAGCTAGGCTGACGCCACGGCACTCACTGTAGCCTGGGCAACAAAGCCAGACTCTTCACAAGAGAGAAAGAGAGAGCAAGACAAGAGACGAGAGAGAGAGAGAACGAGAACGAGAGAGGAGGGAGGGAGGAGGAGAAGAGAAGGAAGGAGGAAGTGAAGGAAGGAAGGAAGGAGGAAGGGAAAAGGAAAGGGAAGGAAGGAAAAGGAAAGAAAGAGAGAAAGAAGAGGAAGAAAGAAAAAGAGAAAGAGAGAAAGAAGAAGAAAGAGAGAGAGAGAGAAAAGAAAGAAGAAAGAAAGAGAGAGAAGAAAGAAGAAGAAAGAAAAGAGAGAGAGAGAAGAAGAAGAGAAGAGAGAGAGAAAAGAGGAAGGAAGAAGAAGAAGGAAGGAGAAGGAAGGAAGGAAGAGGAAGGAAGGAAGAAGGAAGGAAGGAGAATTATAATTCTTTTTTTTTTTTTGAGACAGATCCTCGCTTTGTTGTCCAGGCTAGAGTGAGTGCCGTGGTGTCAGCCTAGCTCACAGCAACCTCAAACTCCTGGGCTCGAGCGATTCTTCTGCCTCAGCCTCCCGAGTAGCTGGGACTACAGGCATGCACCACCATGCCCGGCTAATTTTTTCTATATATATCAGTTGACAATTAATTCCTTTCTATTTATAGTAGAGACAGGGTCCGCTCTTGCCTCAGCTTGGTTTTGAACTCCTGACCTTGAGCAATCTGCCCGCCTCGGCCTCCCAGAGAGCTAGGATTACAGGCGTGAGCCACCGCGCCTGGCCTTATAATTCTTTTTTTAATCTATTTTTTTTCTTTTTATCATTTACATTGTGGTTTTAAGAATTCTTAAAGTCCACATTTACCATTGACTGTGGTAGCCCCCTCTGGGCTGAATGCCTACTTCAACTTACAGGGCCTTTCTCAACTTGTTTCTCCATTGCTAACCCTTTTGTGTACTCCCCCTGGCACATTCCCAACCAGGGAGGAAGAGTAGTAGTACCCTGTGGTACTAGTGATTCCGCAGGAAGCCCGTCCCTCCCAGGGCCAAAACACCCCCAGAAGAACTCAGGGAAGCCCCAGTTGGGATTGATCCTCAAAACATGCCAAGACTGAAGATGAACCAGTATTTATGTGTGTCCTTGTTTCAGAAAAGAGAATGGCTGCTGCTGGCCAAAGGGGAACTCTCGAGCCCAGGATACAGCCAGAGAATCCCTGCCAGCACCTTCTACGTGATCATGCCATCACCCTCCCTCACACTGCTGGTGAAGGCAGTGGCCACACGGGAACTGATACTGCCCAACTCCTTCCCCCTGCTACCTGAGGACCCACCTGATGACAGCCTTAAGATTGTGGAGGCAAGTGGAGGCTAGATGTCATGGGACAGATAGTGGAGAGAAGAGAATGGAATTCGAAAAAGGGATGAGGGAGAGGAGGGAGCCCATAAGGTAATGGATGGGGTAGCAGAGGAGGAGTGTGGTAAGAAGGTAAGAGAAGAAAGCAAGGTGAGGAAATGAGGCTGAAGGAAGGAAGCAAAAGCTTAGATTGAGGCAGCAGGTTAAGAAATGAAGTAGAGGCTGGGTGCAGTGGCTCATACCTGTAATCCTAACACTCTGGGAGGCCTAGGTGGGCGGATCACTCAAAGTCAGGAGTTCGAGACCAGCCTGAGCAAAAGGGAGACCCCGTCTCTACTAAAAATAGAAAGAAATTAGCCGGACAACTAAAAACATATAGAAAAAAATTAGCCGGGCATGGTGGCACACGCCTGTAGTCCCAGCTACTCAGGAGGCTGAGGCAGGAGGATTGCTTGAGCCCAGGATTTTGAGGTTGCTGTGAGCTAGGCTGACGCCACGGCACTCTAGCCGAGGCAACAGAGCAAGACGCTGTCTCAGAAAAAAAAAAAAAAAAGAAGAAGAAGAAAAGAAATGAAGTAGAAAGGAAACTAGCTTGAGGGAAATGAGGTTTGAGAAGAGAGAACTAGAAGACAAAAAGGTCATTGAGGCTGGGTACCATGGCTCACACCTATAATCCCAGCACTTTGGGAGGCCAAGGCAAGAGGATGGCTTGAGGCCAGGAGTTTAAAATAAACCTGAGCAACAGAGTGAGACTCTCTCTCTAAAAAAAAAAAAAAAGAAAGAAAGAAAAAAAAAATTAGCTGGGTATGGTGGCGTTCTCCTATAGTCCCAGCTACTCTTAGAGGCCAAGGCAGGAGGATCCCTTGAGCCCAGGAGGTCAAAGTTACAGTGAGTTCTGATCGCATCACTGCTCTCCAGCCTGGGCCACAGAGCAAGACCCTGTCTCTAAAAAACAAAAATTTTTAAATAAAAAAAAAAAAAAAGGTCATTGGTATAAGTGAATGACTGGGAATTGGAGCTATCCCAGGGAAGCGTAAGACACACACACCCCTGAAATCTGATTAAAGCTAGCTGTAAAGGAGAAGGGAAAGTGTCACAGAAGGGAAGCCTCATGGCAGGCAAGGCTGGCTGGAGGCAGGGGAGGAAGCTGCAGTCCAGGAGTCCAGCTTCAGGCGATGCACTGATTCTCATTTGGCTGGCTCTGGTTTTGTCTTTGCACTGGCTAGCTCTCCTGCCCCCACCTCCATCCCCACTGCCACCCTGGAGAGGAAACTCTGAGGTTAGAAAAGGGAGAGCAGCACATTAGCAAGAGAAGGGAAAGGAGAAGACACAAAGGATGGCAAAAGAGAAGAAAGGAGGAGGGAGTAAAAGATGACAAAGAAATAGGAACCTTTGTATGGGTTTTCCTGTCTTGGTGTGTTTATTTTTATGTCCCTGAGTGTGTGTGTGCTTGAGTCTCTAGATTGGTGACAGTGTGTGTAGGTACATCTGTGCACACCTGTGTGATGGCATGTTCTTATGGGTCTAATTTCTGCACTATATGTGTGCATGTATGTATACCTATGTTTGTGTGCATCTGTTTGTTGAGAAGACACAGAAGAGGCAGGCAATGTGAGCACCCAGAATAGGATGGGCTTCAAAATGAGACTCAAATGCAAAGAAGCAAACAGTTCTGAAAGCCATTTTCTCCTCCTCTTCCTCCTCCTCCTCCAACAGCTCTGAAGGTGGCCCCTCCCCTGTTATTGGATCTGCATTCTCTATTTCCTCTGCTAGTCTCCCCAGGCTGAGGGTGGGAGGGGTGGCTTCTGGACCGGGAGAACTGGAACCACATCACTGCTGGCTCACTGGCTTGTGTGCAGTGAGGACAAGGCCTGGGATTGTACTCTCTCGGCTTGGCAGCTGCAGGGACACAGTGAGAGGTGGGCACGAGTGGCCGTGGCTCACTTAGCGTCTCACTTTGGGGCCAGTGGTTTCTGGCACAGGATGTTGTGGCTGGGAAAACCTGACTGCTCAGGAATGCTGTGCTCTGGTGTCTCTCCCTTTACACTCAGCTCAGCTCACCTCGAAGGCAGAGAACTCCGTGTACTCACCTTGCAGACTGTGAGCACCGGCACCCAGCAGTGTAACCCTCCCTCAGCACTCACACTTGATCCCTTGTAACCCTCACAGTGCTCCAGCCCCTCTCAGAACCCTGGCCTGCCACACTCCTTGGGTGGGAGTGTTCAGTGTTCCTAATCACGTGGGGTTGCTCCTACTTCTACCCTTGCCTGAGGCTTACCTCTTATCTTGCAAGCACTAGGACCTCAGCCAGAACACCCAGTGGGACAGCATCGATTTCACAGCATTCCTGACAGCCCTGGGGCTTCACACCTCCTCCAGCCTCTCAGGATCAAGGGTCTCTGCCTGACATCTTGTGTTCTATGACCTCAAGTTCCCTGGGTGAGGCCCTTCCTGTCTTTTCCTCAGAGTATCCTGGACAGCTTGGAGCTGGAGCCCACCTACAACCCCTTGCAGGTTTGGAGCCACCTGTACTCACACCTGAGCAGCACCTTGGTCAAGCCTCAGGGGCGGCTCCACCCAAGCTGGGAGAGCAGGGCCCCGAGAAAGGTACAGCTCCCTTTCTCCCCTGCCCTTCCTTCCATCCCTTCAGCCCAGAGTCCGAGAGAGCCCTCCTGCCCCATTCCAAACACCGCCCCCATCCCAGGGAGTAGCCCTCCTCTAGGACCAGAGAACCAGGCCAACAGGGAGAAGACACAAAGGAAGTCAGAACCCTTACTGGGTAGGGAGGCTGGTCTGCTTGGGCATTTACATAGGTAAATGTTTAGGTGTTTTAATTATAGTGTTTATGATAACCTCATTAGTCACTTAACAGACTATTGTCCCACTAAGCAAACTGACTACACAGGAACTACAACCACAGCCCTCTCTTTGAAAGAAAAAGCTAAAGAGAAGGTGGGAAAAGAGATGCCCAAGGGAAAGGAAATTAACATTCATAAAGCACCAGTCATTTGCCAGGTTACATAAGTGCTTTCACATATATTTTTCTCATTTAATCCACACAGCATCCCTGCAAGGTAAGTGTTATGCTAATTTTACAGATGAGGAAAAGGAGGCTGACCAAGTTAGTAGCTTAAAGACAGAGCTCCAGTGACAAGGGTAGAAGAGAGAAGAATAATTGAGGGTGGAGAAGTATTTTTATGAGATCCATATTCTATAATATTTGGACTTCCTTTTTGCCCTTATTAATTTTTTTCCTAGTTCCTCAATAACAGAGCCTTTAGAAAAACTCCTATTTCGTCTTAGCTAAAATTACAGGAAAAGAATGTTTCCAAACTACAGTCAATCTAGAAGAGAGAGCAGAGCCCACCACAAGTTAGTTGACGGGCAAGCTGACAGAGAAGGGACCCTGGCAAGAAGATGTGCCCTATAGAGGCTGGACCCCAGGGGACTAACATGATCACCACCCTGGGCCTTGAGGCTGTCACTCCATGGATGGGACTACGAATGAGTTAGGATAAGAAGCCCCACAGGGAACAGCATTAGGAGCTCAGGAATTCTGGTCTTCAGAAAAAGCTCTGGTTGCTCTCTTTGCAGGCTGGGCAGTTGCAGACCAACCGAGTTCGAGCCACAGTGGCCCCCTTGCCTATGATTCCTGCCCCAGGAAGAGCCCCCAAGATGCCAGCAGCCAGCAAACCTTCCTCAGAAGCCTTCTTCATGCCTTCCGAGCAGGAGGAGTATCTCTCAGGGCCCTAAGTTGCCGCTCCAGCACCCAGCTGCCCCGCTTAATCGCATCCATGCTAAGACTCACACAATGGCTATCTGTGGGCAGACCTGCCTTCTATCCACCTGAGCCTCTGTGAGCTCAGACTGCCCTGCCAGGAAACAGGGCCTTTCCCTCCTCTGTTCTGAGTGCTGCCACGGCCTCACTCCTCAAGCCAGAAGTGACACACCCAAGCCTGTCCCTTCTCTGGCAGGACTCTCATTTTCTTTTGGATCATTTGATACTGTTAACACAGATCAAGATTAAACACCCAGCAGGCCTCCATCATTGTTAGGAGCATTGCCATGCCCAGAATTTCTTTTTTGTTGTTGTTGTTGTCCCCGTCCTAATCCTGAGACCGTGTAAGCAGGTGGACAAGGTCAGGTCACCCTTGGGAAAGTGGGCCTCAGAAACAAGCATAAGGTTTTCAGAGCTCATGAAAAACAAGTAGGATTGAAATCCAAGCCTCACTCCAGAGCTGGTGCCCTTCCCAAGGCACCCACCATACCACGGTTCCCTTCAGCCTCCAAACAGACAAGTGCTAGGTGATTGGGACCTACAAGCAAAGTGTGTGTGCTGGGGTCCATGGATGGTGTGAAAAAGACCTACTCCTTTCCTATTCCCCTCTCCCCACATGTGCCCACCTTCCTGTTGCTCTACTCACAGAATAGCTACCATTTTAAAAAATGCTTACTCTGTGCTTCAAATTACACTAAGTACCTGAGAAATTTATCTCATTTCAAACAAACAACCCTGTGAGGTGAAGCCCATTACTATTTTTCCTGTTTTGCAGAGGCGCAGCAGGGGAAACTGAGGGTTGCAGATGTTCTACAACTCATCCAGGGTCACAGAGCTAGAGGCCAGCCCAGGTCAGCCCGACTTGACCACCCACATGCTCCACTCCCCTCCCTGAGGCCCCTTGCTCTTTCTGAAGCTCCCCGCACATTCCTGGTTCTCCTCTTGATCCCCTCCACACCCACCCAGCCACTGTGTCCCCTCCTTGTCTATTCACACACATAGACCTCATAAACCCAAGCTGACTTTAATGAGAATTTAAAAATTTGTAATATATCTCTGGCAAAGAACAATGCAAGGGTAAGGACCTTGGCACAGTCCAGCATCTCCCTACAGCTTCCATACAGGCCCCTGAAACTGTGTCCATTCTGACCAAGTACCCTTTTCTGTAGACCTGGTCCAGCAACTGTCCCTTCCTTTGGAAAGTAGGGAAGGGATGGCTTTGGGGTGCTGACCCTCCCCAGAGCCCATCCCTCAGCCCTGCCATCTCTTCCACTTCTAGGACTTCCTGGGATTGATCATCCTTACCTTGACTCCCGTAATCCTTCTGGTCACACTAGCCCATCCCACCCCCTGGTTCCAACAGGGTTCTTTGATCCCTGGAGCCACCTCCCCATGGTCCTCTATCAGCAACCCCAGCCCTGCCTTTCTTCTCAGGTGGAGCCTCCTGACTTGACCCCAGCCCTGTCAGTTCCTACTCCAGAGAGCCCACAGTCCCAGCTCCCTGACGTTCCACTCTTCTGGACCTGGCTGTACAGGACAGTGTCTGAGCTGTGGCCTTTCCTGCCACTGCCAGTTGTAGTACCAGGTTGAGAGATGGCCAGGCCCTGGGGCTTGGGAGCTGGGATGGGCTTTGTGCTCCGAGAGGGTGGCACGGCATAGTCATCAGTGGCAGGGTTGTAGGGGAGCTCATAGCCCTCCTCCTTCACCCGAGCCTGGCACCACCACGCATCCTTGGGTTCCTGAGGTAGATCATAAAGGCTCCGGGAAGGGGCTGAAGCCAGGCCCTCAGGTTCATCATAGATGGGGTCCTCTTTGGGGTCTGTCAGCTTGGCCTTCAGCAACTGCTGCTGCACATGCTCATACAAGTCCCAATAGACAGGTTTCTTCAACTGTACCCCCTCCCCTGCCCAAGCAGGGGTGCTGTCCAAGGGGTCTGAGTATAGAGAGTCCTGGGGAGGGCCTGGAGCAATGCGCAGGGAGTCTAAGGGCTCAGCATATAGTGCTGGGGAGTTTCCCAGGAGCTCCTGGGGGCCAGGAGGAGAAGCCAACTTCCCCTCTGCCACCTCCCCTTCATGGGCTTCAGCTCTAAGAACGTCGTGTCCCTGTCCAGCTTTTCCCTCAGCCTTCTGCCGGTGGATGGCAGTCTCAACTGCCTGAAAGATGTCATTTCCCTGTGCCGTCTGGAAGGTGAAGGTTCCAGGGCCCGAGGGGCAGCGTCGGCCGGCCTCAAAAGAGAACATGACCTAAGGAGGGTGTGGAGGGAAACATGTTACCAGGAGCCATCAGAGGACATGGTCACAGGGCCTGAACTATTAGGGTATCTACAAAGAAGAGACTGCCTGGGGATGGAGGTGGGGTCACAGGGTAGGCATGGAAGGGGGATCCAAAGGTCAGAGCTTCCCCCCACTGTCCTCCCCTAACCCTCCCACAGCTACCCAACCCAGTAAGCCTTCCCTGACAGCCCCTGCACCTTATCCCGGCCATAGCGACGCAACAGAGTGTAGGGCCAGGACAGGAGCGGCTCCAGTATCTGACTCTGGGCCCCCACGGTCAGGAGGGTCAGCCTCTCAGCCTCTACCCTCAGCACATAGGAGCCATGCAGGCCACAGCGCTCAGCGGCCTCAGTCCTCTGCACGGTTACCCAGAATTGGGATCCTGAAAGGAATACACAATTAGATGGACAACTGACTGGGGCCAGCGGTAGGGACAGAGAAGTCTCAGGAGCAGAGTATTCAAGCACTTCCTTGGAAGCCAGATCTCAAGGGCTTCCGACTTCCCCACGGTACCCACCCGCTTCCCAAGGGCACTCCTTCCCACTCCATCCCTGCTCGGGCTTCTCAGGCTTCTACCTTCCCAGGTGGGGCTGTACAAGGAGTTCTCCAGCATCTCCAGGGCAGAAAGTTTAGGTGAGTTTTCCGAAGGCGTCAGAGCCCAGCTGCCTTTCTGTAGTAAAAAAGAGCATTGAGGACTCTATAATTCCCTCAATGCGGCTCCCGGGGGTCTGAGCCAGGCCTGTTTCTCTGCCTCTGTAACTGCCCCCACTGCACCTCAGCCCCTCGCTGGCAGCCCTGACCCCTCACCGGAAAGGCGTTTTGGCACAGCGTCTGCACCCAGGCAGCGCTGGACGGCGCGTCGGCAGCTAGCAGGTGCGAGCGCTGCGCAGTGTCCAGACGGAAGGCAGTGGCACCAGGCTCAGGGGGGCTCTCCACGGACACGGGGGCCACGCTCACACATTCGGCCAGACGAATCACCTTGCAGTCCAGGCGACGCGAACCCCCTCGGCCACCTCCAGAGCTCAACCCCTTATGGTCAAAGAACTCGAGCCGCGCAACGCCGTGCGGACTGGCGGGGTACAGTACAGCCCAGGTCTTCCTCCACCTCTAGGGAGAGAGCGACAGACGCTGGAGAGGGAGCGGGCGTGCGCGGGCGGCCCGGGCCCGGACGGGGAAGGAGAAGTGGCTCGGGCCATTTGGGATCCGGGGCTTTCCAAAGGGGAGCGAAGTTTCCCAAGGATGATGCTGCTCGGTTTCCCCAAGACCAAGGAGGGCATACCCTGAGACTGCAGGCGCTTCTCCGGAGTGTGCTGAGCAACTTCGCGGGAACCTCGCCCGGCTCTCCAACTCCCGGAGCCACGCTCCAACCTGCTGCCGGCCCCCTCCCTCTTTCTGGGCTCTTTCACCCACCACTGGCCCTGATGGGGTGCAGTATCCCCTGCCCCCCACTACCTTGGTCCCGAAGCGCTGACTCTGCAGAAAGAGCGGCCCTTCCATCACAGCGCCGTCCATGGCCCCCGGAGGTTCCTTCCGCGCTTCCTGGCCCAGAGGGCGAGAGGCGGGCCTGGGGGCGGGGCCTGGCCGCCCCAGGCGTTTCTGCCCCTCCCCCGGCCCCAGGGGGCCGCTAGGGTGGGGCGGGGTGAGGGAAAGGAGCAAGAAGAAGGGGTAGAGGTCACCAGATAAGCGGACGGTGCACCACCTCCAGGCCCCTACCCACAGCCCGGGGGGCGCACAAGTGGCTCTACAGGAAGAAGGTTTTCAGTGTCAGATAGAGGGCCCTGGCGGCTGGGCTAGGAGGCTACGTGTGATGTCATATGCCCAAAGTGACATCAGAGCGAAGGCCGTGACATCACCCCGAAAGTGTCCGCACGCACCCTGGGACACCAGAGAGACCAAGTGGGCCTTCAGGGCTTCAGCTCCCCAGGCCGGTCCCGCCCCCAGCCCCGCCCGAGTTGGGCTGTTTACTCTGTCCGCGAGCCGGGGACCTGAAGGAAGGGCTGGGGGCTGGAAGCCTTCCCGCCACCACAGGGGCCGCCGCCCGGGCAGCTCCACTGCCCGGTGGCCGCTTGCAAGTCGGCTCCCCGACCGCAGCTGCCCGGCCTCCAACCCGCGGGAAAAGAAAGCTTCATTGAGCAGCGCAGGATGGTCCGGGGAGGGGGGAGGGGGCGCGGCAGCGGCCAGCTCCACAGGCGAGGGGAGGACCAGGAGGACGAGAGGAGGGAGCTGGCCGGGGAGGAATGGAGGGAGAAGGCGGAATGTGGGAGGGCTCTAGGGGACGTGGGAGGGGCGAACGGAGAGGGGAGAGAGAAGGGGGGTCCAGTCTCCCCTAGCCGACGACTTTTTTTTAGAAGTCCTAGGACTAGTCTCCAGGACCAGGACTCTTCTCCCAGACCTTAGGGTCCTGCTCAGCCAAAGGTAGGGGGAGCTGGGGATGGAGAGGGACCAGCGAAATGGGGTGGTGTGGGATGGAGTCGAAGGAAGGGGAAGCCACCCAACCGAGAGTTTGATTATCGTCAAAGGGGAGTGAGACTCAAGGAGAGTGTAAAGAGGAGGCAGATACTGGGGGTGGGGGCTGCAGCAGGGTGTTCTGAAAAGGGCGGGCAGGAGAGCCCAAAGGCGGGGGTCTCCTCTGTGAGGCCTTACCTCTGGGCCCCCAAGCCAAAATGTCCCCAGAACAAAGCTGTCTTGTTGGGTTGTTTGTCTGGGTTGGGGGAAGCATGTTCAGGAAGGCCCCTGCTGTGGAGGGGCTGTTCTCAGCCCCAGACAGAGCAGGCCTTGGCTAAGGAGCCCATAGCGGCCTGGCCTCCCGTTGCCCGGTGACAGCGATGGTGGAGTTGGCAGGAGGCTCAGACAGCCCCACCCCACCCCCGCCCAGCTTGAGGCCTGGCCCTCCTGGGCCCCTTGACCCCGCAGGGCATCTGAAAGCCTGTGTGCCAGGGAGGGTGTGCAGCAGGTTATCCACACATTCTTTGATGTCACCCTCCCTGCCTAGGAATCTGCCCAGATAACACTCAGGGCTTGACTCCCATTCAGGGGATCTGAGATCCAAGGATCTCCTAGGGCCCCCTTGCCTGCCTCTCTCCACAATCAGTACAGTTGTCTGTCCTCTGTCTGGCTAAATGGGGTCATCTGGGTCCCTCCCATGTCTGCTCCTTGGCTCTTGTCAATCGTGCTCCCCTCACCTGTTGCCTGCCTCTCTCCCTCCCTCCCCACTACTGTGTGCTTGGTTCTTTTCCTGTCACCTTCTGTCATCTTCAATGTTGTCTGTCTCTCCACTGTCTCTTTTGGTTTTCTCCCTTTGGTTCCCACAGTCCCCCTGCCTCTCACATCCTGTCTCTCTGGGTGACTCTGGCTCAGTCTCTATCCCTTTATCTTGACCATTCTCCGGCCCTTGGTCTCTAACCACTGTCTTATCTCTGGGTCTCTCAGACTGGTGAGTGGGGGTAATGGAGGTGATGATGGCAGACCTAGGGACAGATGTGGGACAGAACAACTAATTGTGAGGGGTTTGTCATTTACAAAAGGGAGTGAGAGCATAGCTATCTCCCCCACCCCAATCTGGGTCTCTCAGGCTGCGCTTCTTTGACACTGTCTCCGCCCTTATTTAGTGTTTCTCACGATGTCTCTTAGCCCCTGAGGCGCTCTCTATTGCTCATACTGTCTCTGTCCCTGGTCTGACTGTCTTCCTTTCATGACTTCTCTCTCTCTCTGACTCTGGGCCTTGCTCAATCTGTTTCTCTCACACATACTTTCTCTCTGGGGCACCCAGGCCTTCCCTGCCATGCGACTTGTCAGTGTCTGGCAGTGGAGCCCGTGGGGGCTGCGGCTGTGCCTGCTGTGCAGCTTGTGCTTGGGGTCCCCGTCCCCTTCCACGGACCCTGAGAAGAGGGCCGGAAGCCAGGGATTGCGGTTCCGGCTGGCTGGCTTCCCCAGGAAGCCCTACGAGGGCCGCGTGGAAATACAGCGAGCTGGTGAATGGGGCACCATCTGCGATGATGACTTCACACTGCAGGCTGCCCACGTCCTCTGCCGAGAGCTGGGCTTTACAGAGGCCACAGGCTGGACTCACAGTGCCAAATACGGCCCTGGAACAGGTGAGCAATGATCCAGGCATAGCCTAGCTATTACCAAAGTGTGGCCTAAGTGCAGGGAGAAGGAACACCAGGATGAGACAGCCACAGGACATGGGACTCCAAGAACAGCCAGTTTCAAGTGAACCCATAGATGACAAACCAACCAACATAGTTACTCTCAGAGTTGTGTGACCTTAGGCTAGTCAGTGCTTTCTCTGAACCTCAGATGCCCTGTGTGCAAAATGACTAGATGATCCCTAAGTTCCTTTCTGCTACAAGAGCATGATTCTACAAAGCCATGAGCAAGGACAGCCCAGATAGGGGTGAGCCCCGTATGATTAGAGTTGGTTTCATGGGAAGCTGAGAACAGGTAAATGTCTGGATGTCCCAAAGCCAGAAGGCATGACAGATACTGCAGCTGACAAAATCAGATTACAGGCCAGAGCTAAAACTATTAAGCTAAAACTGACTAAGGACAAGACTAAAGCCAACAAGAATGTCTGTGGGTGGTGAGGGTTTAAGAGCAAATTCTCCGTGAGGCCCAAGGATGCTCACACAGTATGAGCCCACGGTGGGATGGGTGGACAGAAGCAGATGCAGTCTCCAGTTGATCACCCAATTCCCACTGGCTAGACCACCTCAAACAAAGTGTAATTTGTTGATGCTACATTTTAAGAGGGACAGTAGAAAATGGAAATACTTTCAGAGGAGAGCTGCCCAAACATGAAAGATTCAGAAGCCAAGTTTCTAGGAGGAACAGCTGAAGAACAAGGGGTTTGGTATGGAAACAAAATGCCTTGGATAGCAATTACATAATGGTTGTCTTCAAATATGGGAAGGACGGTCACATGGCTGAGGGATTTTTCTGGATGGCATCAAAAGACTGAATCAGATTTGTTAGGGGAAAGTCAAGAGGTGCGGGGACTGATGGTTACAAAGTCTCGTGGGTCAGGATGTAGGTGTCCTAGCAGAAGCTAGGTAAGTCCTGTCAAGATATGAATGAAGGGTCCCTGCACAATGGGTAGGACAGATGACCTTTGAGGTTCCACCCAATTATGAAAGGCAGTCAGTGATACTCATTAGGGTCCATACAGAGAACAAGAGGCTAAGTTGCAGCACAGACAGGACAGGCATGTGGGAGAATGCAAGAGTGAGGTGAAGGGATGTTCGATTTCCAAGTCTCACAATAGGTCAAACTCCTAAGTCCCCATGTATTGGCTCTGTGGTCTTAGGCAAGTTATTTAACATCTCTGAACCCTAGTTTCTTCATATAAAACAGTCTCTGGCAGCTCTGTTCTAAGAATGATCATGTATGTCCTCACCATGGCAGAGCACCTGGCACACAATAGGTACCTGATCAGTTGTAGCTATCACTGAATGGATGAGGAATGATCAGAGCTTCAGTGTTGACTCTTTGTTTTTATTTGCCTTGTCAACTTCTCGAGTATCCCCAGATCACCGACAACCGTATTCCCTCTTTCCTGTTCCCTCTAGGGTCCCCTGTCTCTTCTCCACCAGAAAATTCCTATTCCCTCTAGGGTCCCCTGTCTCTTCTCCCATCATACCAGAAAAATGGGATCACTGTGGCCAAGTGTGAGGCCCCCATGCTCCCTCTCCCCAATCCCCCCATCTCCCTCATCCTACCCCCCCAAGCTTCTCTGTCCCCTCATCTCCTCTCCCACAGGCCGCATTTGGCTGGACAACTTGAGCTGCACTGGGACTGAGAAGAGTGTGACTGAATGTGCCTCCCGGGGCTGGGGGAACAGTGACTGTACCCATGATGAGGATGCTGGGGTCATCTGCAAGGACCAGCGCCTCCCAGGCTTCAAGGACTCCAATGTCATCGAGGTCTGTAGTTCACACAGACACACCACCCAAGATGGCCAGACAGAGAGGACTGTAGGGTGGTTAGAGGAGGTAGTAGAAGTAGGGGATCCCATGTACCCCTGTGGAATACTTTGGATTGGTGGGCGGCGTGGAAGAGTAAATGATAGAGTTCCTGGGTGCTGTAAAACTGGGAGGGGGGAAACATTAGCATTCAAGAACAAAACCTGACATGAACCTCTCCAACTTCATGCCTGGTCACCCTGGGAGCGTCCTGTGCTCTCCCTCTCCTCAGACATTGTGCTGTCCCAGAACATCTCTCTTCTTACTTTCTCCTTCTTCAAAGCCGCTTCCTCAGTGAAGTCCTCCCTCCTGCTCTAGGCAGAGTTGGGTGCTCCTCCCTCAGCTCCCTTCATTGCTCAGAGCACAGCATATCCCTCCACCCTCGTGGCTGGAGGAGAGTGCACACACCCCAGACTGAGGGCAGGCAGGGCATTCCTCTCGGCCCTGGCTCAGTCCCATCCGCCACTGGGCTTACGGGACACTGGGACCCTCTCCCCTGCTTGTGGTCCCGCCCTCAGGTAGAGCATAACCCGCAAGTGGAGGAAGTGCGACTGCGACCCGGAGTCGGGTGGGGCAGGCGGCCCCTGCCAGTGACTGAGGGGCTGGTTGAGGTCAAGCTTCCCGACGGCTGGTCGCAAGTGTGTGACAAAGGCTGGAGCGCCCACAACAGCCACGTGGTCTGCGGGATGCTCGGCTTCCCTAGCGAAAAGAGGGTCAACACGGCCTTCTACAGGTGAGGGGCGTGGGGGGGGGTGGAGGGCGGGGCGGGTGCTCTCTGAGGAGCGGTGTGGGGAGGCCTTGGAGAGGGTCGGGGCACTGGGGGGCCCGAGGGTCCGGAATAGCGGGCAAACGTAGAGACCGCGAAGAAGCTGGAGGAAATCTTGTGGGGCCAAGAAGGGCTCCCCAAGATGGGTCCGTAACGGGGAGCAGGGAGGGCCCGCTCCCACGCGTCCGGGCCGGCGCGGCGGCGCGCTGGGTCGGCGAGCGGGTCCCGCGGCCCCGGGCGCGCGCCGGCGGTTCCCGGTCCCGCGAGGGCGCGGCCGGCCTCGGGAGGCGGTGCCTGGGCGTGCCCGGCGCGGAGCCGCCCGCCCACTGTCTGGGGACCGGGACAGGCCGGCGGCGCCCGCGGGGCGGCGGGTCCCAGCCACGGGCCCATCCCGGAGGGGCCGGAGGGCGCGGGAAGAGTCTGGGCCCCGCCCCCGGCCCAGGCGCGTCTCTGAGCGCGCGCGCCCTCGGGACTCCGGGGAAGTTTTCCAGAAGGTGTTCTGGGCGCCCACCCTCTCCACGTGCCCTGGAGCCCTGCTGTGCACGCCGGCTTCCAGGGCAACGAATAGCCCCGGTGAACGGTTCTGTGCTTGCAGCGTCTCCCTTCCCTGGAACATCTAATTTTGGTCATTTTGAGAAACAGCCATTGAGAGTCTGGCAAATATTTGGAAATCTTTACACCGTGTCTCTGTAATCTTCTATTTTCCGAGCCAGAAATGCTTGTTTTCTTAAGCTCTGTCTTCCTTAGATCTTTTGCTGAAAAGCCTCTTGACGTCTAGATGGCTTTCCACTGGGCACGCTATTTCAGATGTTGTCCGGCCAGGGTAGGGTACTGCTGAAATGCTCGACTTTGATTAAAGCACGCTTCCAGTTTGCGTTGCTTTGGAGGCAGCATTCCACTGCTTATATTGAACTTTAATCACCTAAAACCAGTTCAAGGCTACCCTTATCCCTAATACTGATAGAGCATGCTTTCTGAACCTAAATTCATGTTTAGCTTCTCCCATCATTTAAAAGCCATGATGAAAAAAAATAAAATAAAAGCCATGATGATCCCATGAGATTATCTTGAGTACTGATGTGATTTTCAGTCATCATTTCCAGCAACCTTTACAGAACAGACATGAGTATCTCGAGCATTTCGTAGGAATGACCATAAAAATCGTTGTTGAACTGTTCAAAACTAAAGTCCAATTCTTCCTGGAAAACTTTCCTCCAGATTTACATCAAGCCTCTAATCATCAGTTGTAAAATATGTTTTTTCAACTGATTGGGAAGAAACAGAACACAACAGTTTTGTAGCCAACATTTCACCTTATCTATACATATATTTCTTGTCTATAATGTTATTCTTTGGGAAAATCCAGATACACTATGTTCGCAGCCATTCTCTAAGTTTCCAATTCAGTAATCTTGTCAAAAAACGAAATCATAATTGTTTGAGCCTATTTTTATTGAAATCCTTTTAAGTTTCTAAGAATCACCCTAGTTTTTCCTAAATGTGCACAACCTTCCTATTTAATAACTTATTCTAGAATATTACTTACCTGTAGATTGAGAAATCCTTCTTTTCTTTTTTTTAATTAGCACATTATCTAGTGTCCAGTCTTTTCCATACTTGGTCAAATTTGCTTTGCCTTGGCTTTGAGACTCATCTGAAAGTTCTTTCAGCCCTGAGGAATACACTTTATCTGGTCTGGAGACTCAACCTATATTAAAACAACTATGCTGTGCTCCTCTACTATCGTCCATCTTGGGGCTGTATTTCTTTCTCTGTGCTTGTCTTTTACCTCTCCTAATCCAAACACCAGAAAGATTCTGGTTCTGAAAGATTAGTAGGATTTAAATAGCCACATTTCAAGTGAGGGGGATAGCATGAGCAAAGGTGTAGAGATTCATTTGTCCATTTATTTATTGAGACGCGACTGTGTGCACAGTACTTTTGTAGACGCTAGCAGTTCAACAGTGAACAAAACGGACAAAAATCCCTGATCTCATGGACTAGGGGAGAACCTGAAAGCAAATAGGTTAAAATATGAAATGTAAGGATGTTAAAGAGGGCAACAGGTAAAAATAAAGCCAGGAAGGGGTTAAGATATGCGAGTAGAATTACAGTTATAAATAGAGTGGTCAGGGAAGACCTCTCTGAGAAGGCATCATTCAAAAAAATCTTAAAGGAGGTGAGAGCACAAGCTCTGCAGACATCTAGACAAACATTTCCAGGAAGAGGAATCGGAAATGAAAATATTCTGGGGAGTATGTTTGTGTGGTGGGGGAGGGGAGAAGACATTCTTGTCATTCCCCATGGGGCCATTGTGGCTGGAGCTCAGGGAACAAAGGAAAAAAATGACAGGAGATGCAATGTAGGAGGTGATAGGAAAAGAATGAGGGGCCAGATGATTTAGGGTCATTTGGGAGACTTTCACTTTTACTCTGTGTGAGATAAGGAAACATTTTGAGTAAAAGTATGACATCCGACCTCCATTTTTAAAGTGCTACTGTCACTGCTTTGTTAAGAATGGGTAGTAGGTGATGCAGTAGAAGCAAGAGGGCTAGTTAGAAAGTTATTGTCTCCTGAAAGTCAAGTAAAGAGTGTGAAACCTGAAGATGACCATGAAAGTGGTGAAAAATGACCAAAATCTGTATATTGTTGAAGGTAGAGCCAAGAGGGTTTGCTAATAGATTTATTGTGGTGTTAGAGATCATTCCAAGGTTTTTGGTCTCATCTAAGTATCCAGTTGGCCTCATCTGATAAGGATCATAGTGAGTGGAGCATGTTTTGTATGGAGAGGGGGCTGGGGTGGAGGGTAGGAACTTGGTTTTGGCCCTGTTAAATTTGACGTTGTTTAAGACATTGAAATGGTAAGCTAAGTCAGACAAATTGGATTAGAGGTCAGTTGAATAAAAGTATATGAAGTCCTGAAACACATCACCAAGGAAGTGACTGTAAATTTTAAAGAGAGAGAGAAAGAGGTTCAGGCCCAAGGAGTGAAAACTTGGGGAACTTAAATATTAAGAGGTCAGGGAGGTAGGGTGAAATTAATGTATGACGACTAGTAGGATATAGAGAATGGGAGAAGAAACACCTAAAATGATTCTGAAGCTGCCTGAGAGAAGGGTGGTACCATCAGGCGTCTCAGGGCTTCAGGTTAATACGAACTGGCTTTGGGGCTGGGCCATCCTTGGGAAATGTGAGACACAGGAGTTGTCCCCAGGTATTCACAGCCTGAAGTAATTTTCAGAGATTAAGAATATTGGCTGTGTGCATTGGAATCTCATACTGAGACTGGGGTATGAAGGCTGGGGAAGGAGATACACCAAAGCACAAGGTCATCGTCAGCGGGGAAAGAGATTACAGGAGTCTGGATTATAGAAGTTTCTGTGGTGGGGACGTGTCATAGATCTTCTGTCCAAGTCAAGCCAGGCAGAGGGAGCATTCTCATAGGTAATACGGGAACAACTCTGCCCCTCCTTAAGGAAAACCAAATGGATCTTCTGGCTTTTAGAGGAAGCCAGTAAGATTTAGAAAATGAGAAAATCAAAAGTATCTATCATTTTTACACCTGTTTTGGTAATTCCACCATAGAACATGTGAATTTTAGAAGAGGAGAATAAAGTACAGATAATTGAACTATTTACTTTTACAAGTAATGAATCTGAGGCTGTAAGAGCTTCGGTGCTCTTTAAGAAGTCATTCTTCTAATTCATTTTAGTTTGACAGATATTTATTGAACTGTTACTATTTGCCAAACACTATGCAAGGTGCTGAGAAGACAAAAGTGAAAAAATAATGAGAGAGGTAGTTAGGTAATTAGGCATCAGATCACAGAAGACCTTATAGGCCATGGATTCAGGTCTTTGTGATAAAAGGATTGGGAATCCATTGAAACGTTTTAATGAGGAAGGCTGTAAATGACATGATCAGGTTTGTGATTCCAAAAGATCATTTTAACTGCATTTCTGAGAATGGTTTGGAGAGGAGCAAGAGTGAATAGATTGGAGAGAGATTTAGGAAAGAAAATGGATGGGACTTGGTTATTGATTGACTTTGGGAGCCAGGGAAGGGAGAAGTTAAGTTTGACTCCTAGGTTTCTGGAGTGGATTTTGCTGAGAAAATTATGTTTATTTTTTGGACCTACATTACAGTTTAGATGACTTCAAGATCTCTACCTAGAAACACCAAGAAGGCAGTGGAATATACAAGGTTGGGTGTGAATGAGACCATATAAAGAGAGGACCATATATGGTGTGAGAAGAGAATAATGCTTAAGACAGAGCTCTGAAAATGTAAATGGCCAGATAGGGGAGGAGCCTGCAAAGAAGACCAAGAAAGAGCAACCAGAAATAGGAATAAAACCAGGCTATTGTAGTATAAGGCAGTCTAGGAAGGAGCAACAGCAGCAGAGTCAGATGTTGCAGAGAGGTCAGTAAGATTAAGATTGAAAAATGTCTACTGGATTTAACAACATGGAAGTTTGCAGAGTAATGGGTAGGGAAAACCAGAGGACATGGGTTAAGGAATGAATGGAAACAGAGGCTATAGAGATGGTGAATATTGACAACTCTTGAAAAATTTTGCTATGAAGAGGAGGAGAGATTTGAGATAGAGAGTGTGGGGGGGGGAGTAGGAGTAATTTGAACATAGTTAAAAGGATTCAATTAAAAAGGAACAGTTATATGCAAGAGAGAAGGATTATAAGAGGTGGAATTCAGAAACATATGGGGGGAGTGGCCTTAGAGAAGAGAGATGTTTGGGAGGAATGAGAAGAGGATATGCAGATATAGACAGGTTTTTAAGTTTAATGGTTGAAGGGGGGAACAAATGATAGGGGGAAAGAAGCACATCTGTGAATAAAGAAATGTAAATCAAGGTCAGGCTCACACCTATAATCCTAGCACTCTAGGAGGCCCAGTCAGGAGGATTGCTTGAGGTCAGTTCAAGACCAGCCAGAGCAAGAGCGAGACTCCATCTGTACTAAAAGTAGAAAAAATTAGCCGGTCATGGTGGCGCATGCCTGTAGTCCCAGCTACTGGAAAAGCTGAGGCAGAAGAATCACTTGAGCCCAGGAGTTTCAGGTTGCTGTGAGCTGGGCTGGCACCACAGTGCTCTCACCTGGGTGACAGAGCAAGATCTGACTCAAAAACAAATGTAAATTAAGGAAAATATCAGCATTGATCTTAAATAAGGACGAAGTCATTAATATAACTTATAAGATAAAAGGTTCTAAACTCCTAGATATGTATATGAAATATTATATATGCATGTAGACATATAAATAATATAATTTACAATATAAAGTTGTTAAATAAAGAGGAAGTACTTCAAATTTGCAGATAATACAAAATTTTTCTGTGTACTACTCTAGAGATCAAGATGATCTTCCTGAGTTGATTAGTAAAAGAAGGTACCAAATGTATTTCTTTTTTTTTTTTTGAGACAGAATCTCACTTTGTTGCCCAGGCTAGAGTGAGTGCTGTGGCGTCAGCTAGCTCACAGCAACTCAAACTCCTGGGCTCAAGCATCCTGATGCCTCAGCTCCCGAGTAGCTGGAATACAGGCATGTGCCACCATGCCGGCTAATTTTTTCTATATATATTAGTTGGCCAATTAATTCTTTCTATTTATGTAGAGACGGATCTCGCTCTTGTTCGGGCTGGTTTCGAACTCCTGACCTTGAGCGATCCACCCGCCTCAGCCTCCCAGAGTTGTATTTCATTTTAGACATTTTAGGCATGTTTGAGAGAAAGACATTTAGAGAAAGTTTTAGACCATGTTTATAAAATGAAAGGCTCTAGCTTTTAGTAATGTCTCAGGAGAGGAACCCAAGAGTTGTAGACTATAGGTAGGAATGTTGGACATATTGGATGTGTTTTTATTTGTTTTTTTGTTTTGTTTTGTTTTGTTTTGTTTTGTGAGACAGATCTCGCTTTGTTATCCAGGCTAGGTGGTGCGCGTGGCGTCAGCCTAGCTCACAGCAACCTCAAACTCCTGGCTCAGTGATCCTTCTGCTCAGCTCCCGAGTAGCTGGGACTACAGGCATGCCACCCATGCCCGGCTAATTTTTTATATATATATCAGTTGGCCAATTAATTTCTTTCAATTTATAGTAGAGACGGGGTCTCGCTCTTGTTCAGGCTGGTTTTGAACTCCAGACCTTGAGCAATCCGCCCGCCTCGGCCTCCCAAGAGCTAGGATTACAGGCGTGAGCCACAGCGCCCGGCCTGTTTTGTTTTGTTTTGTTTTGTTTTGTTTTGTTTTGTTTTGTTTTGAGACAGAGTTTTTCTTTGTTGCGCTGGCTATAGTGCAGTGGTGTCATCATAGCTCACTGCGACCTCAAACTCCTGGGCTCAAGCAATCCTCCTACCTCAGCTTCCTGAGTAGTTGGGACTATAGGCATGTGCTACCATGCCTGGCTAATTTTTCTACTTTTTGTAGAGACAGGGTCTCACTCTTAACTCAGGCTGGTCTCAAACTCTTTTTTTTTTTTTTTTTTTTTTACTAATTGTAACAATAAGATGGTCTCAAACTCTTGAGCTCAAGTGATCCTGGTGCTTCAGCCTCCCAAAGTGCTAGGATTATAAGTGTGAGCCACCGTGCCAGCCCATACTGGATGCTTTGACAAACAGACCAACTAACTACATCCTCAGGAAGAAGCTGGGGCAGGAAATACCAAACAGCTTCTGACCTATTTTAAATATATACATATATTAAAATCCCAGTACATCTTCACACATAAACAGTCATTTAGTACCTTTAGGGGTTTGTTCACAGTACCTCAGAATGATACCAAAATCTGAGGATGCTCAAGTCCCTGACAGAAAATGGTGTTGTATTTGCAAATAACCTGTGCACATCCTCCAGATACTTTAGATCATCTCTAGATTACTTATAACACCTAATACAATGTAAATGCCATGTAAATGGTTGTTACACTGTATTGTTTAGAGAATGACAAGCAAAAAGTCTTGCATGTTCAGTACCAACACATTTTTTTAATATAGTTTCAGTCTGCAGTTGGTTGAATCCATGGATGCAGAATCCATGGACACAGAGGGCCAACTGTGCTATGTGGAAATATGACTCCTCAAGATAAACAGCAGCTTTCAAAGAAAGGACAACTAAGATGATAACGGGCTGGGCGCAGCGGCTCACTCCTGTAATCATAATCACTCCAGCCAGGCAACAGAATGAGACCTTGTATCTGTACAAAAAAAAAAAAAAAAAGAGGCCAACTCGGTGGCTCATGCCTGTAATAACTAGCACTCTGGGAGACTGAGGCAGGAGGATCAATGGAGGTCAGGAGTTTGAGACCAGCCTAAGGAAGAGCAAGACCTCTCTCTACTAAAAATAGAAAAAAAATAGCTGGGTATGGTGGTGTATGCCTGTAGTCCCAGCTACTCCAGAGGCTAAGGCAGGAGGATCACTTTAGCCCAGGAATTGGAGGTTTCAGTGAGCTATGATGATGCCACTGCATGCTGCCTGGGGCAGAGTGAGGCTCTGTCTCAAAAACAAAACAAAAAAAAAAAAAACACAGAATTCTATAAATTTAAAAAGTCAGACACATCATCTGTACACAGTTGGACAGGACAAAAAGTGACCATAATTAAAGTCTTCAAAATAACAGGGAGAATGAGAGGAGGAACAGACCCCTAGTTTCTGTTTCCGTTAAGACATTAGACTTCAAGAAACCTCTTGAAGAATGAAATAAGTCAGTTATTTAGGCCAGTTAAAAAGAAGTAAGATTGGCCAGGCTTGGTGACTCACGCCTGTAATTCTAGCTCTCTGGGAGGCCGAGGCAGGCGGATTGCTCGAGGTCAGGAGTTCAAAACCAGCCTGAGCAAGAGCGAGACCCTGTCTCTACTATAAATAGAAAGAAATTAATTGGCAAACTAATATATATATAGAAAAAATGAGCCGGACATGATGGTGCATGCCTGTAGTCCCAGCTACTCAGGAGGCTGAAGCAGAAGGATCGCCTGAGCCCCCAGGAGTTTGAGGTTGCTATGAGCTAGGCTGACGCCATGGCACTCACTCTAGCCTGGGCAACAAAGCGAGACTCTGTCTCAAAGAAAAAAAAAGAAGAAGTAAGATTTATTTCCCTGCAAGTAAGTTTGAGAGGTGAGCTCATTTGGAACTTGAGCAGGAAGGGTGCTGCCATCCTAAGGAGCCCGCCTTGTGCATCCTTGGAGATCCAGCCTTGGTCCTTGGTCCTGGTCCAGGAGCCTCAGGCCTGGACATGCCAAAAGCCTTTCTTGAAGAGAGCAACCAAGAATAAAAAGATACAGTCAGCCTCCCTGGGCTTGACCCAGGCTAGCTCTTTCCTAGCTTGGTCAGTCTGGCAATTCTAACAATCCTAACAACTTTCCCCTTAACCCTCAGCACTAAATGTCTGGACCCAGGAGTCCTTTGTCCCCATCTGCCTTAGCTAATTTCTGAGGGTCCTGGAATAAGGACACTGTATGTCCTGAGTCCCTGGCCTTCACTGCTGCTCACCCACCTGGTCATGTGCTTATGAGACCAAAGAGCTATGAAGGGTAGGGCCCTGGGAGTATCTGACGTTATAATATCCTGCCATCAGGAACCTTTCTGACTGCTTGAAAAGAAATCTTGTCCTGGTCCTAGCTGCACCAGCCTTTTCCAATTGCTTCTACACTGATCCTGACTACTATTGTCTTATCCTCACAGAAAGTTGAGGAAGCGAGCAGCCAAAGCCTCAGCCCGACGCCCCAAGCCCCTTGGAAGGTAAAGGGGCAAGAGCCCCGGGACCTCCTGCTTGCCCCTGTGGCCCCAGGAGGTGGATGGATGGATGGCAGCCTATCCATGTCCATCCCAGAACCCAAGCTGACGGATTAGGGATGTGACTGGAAAATAAATGGCCATTCCCCCAGGGGGGAGGGCGAAGGGAGCAGGCATGGGGACGGGCAAGCTTCGATCTTAGGGAACACAAGGAGGAAATAATGTCAGAATAGCTGAGGAGAAGCTTCCCATCTTTCAACTTTCCCCAAATAGCCTGGACTCCAGCCTCAGCCACGTGCATTCCTCTTCCCCGACCTCCCTTAGTTCACTGGCATTACTGTTTTCTCTCCTCCCTGCACCTTGCCTCTTCCCTCCCCTCTCCGCACCTGCACTGACATAACTGGAGTTCCCATCACTATTGCTGAATCCAGCTGCATGAGTTCCTGAAATACAGCTCAGTGGTGTTGGGCAGTGTATGAGGACAATCTGGCCTTCCTTCACTTTGCCCCTTCCCACACTGCATGAAAAGTCCTTCCCAGAAACAGAAAAAGAACCTTCTACCTTCCCTGGGCCACACCAACCATACCTCTACCAACCTCTTTCTCCTTTTTGCAGACCAATCACCAAGCTTAAAGTCAGACCCAAACCCCGAGTGGGCAGGGGGCCAATCAAGAGGTAAATAAGGCTCAGGTTGGGTGGAGAGGAGGGGAGCACAGAGTTAGGAAGTGGGGGAGTCGGGCTGTGGTCAGGCCAAGAGGACCTTGGCTGGAAAAGCTGCCCAAGAGGTGGGGGAGCAGCAACTGTTACAAATCACCTTCCAGATCATGTACCAAGATGTTAAGTAAGGCTGGCCTGGGGATGGTGGGCTGGAGAATTATGCTTGTCATAGGGTTTGGGGAGTTTTTTCATCCACTGACTACCCTTGTTCCACAGGCTTATTTAGCTCCCCGGTGAGTTCTAGGAGATAATATGGTGCTTTTCTCCTTCAGATGCCCTACTTGGCTCTCCCTCAAGTGGTTAAGTTTGCCTGAAGGATCAGTGTTTTACATGATTTTACTTTTACATGATTAATTTTAAAAAATAAGTGCTACCATCTTACTCCAAATGGAGTAAGACTCAGCTTCCCATTTGGAACCTTTACCAGGATAGAGTCAGATTGACAGTCCCTGCCTCTCTGGCCGGTTCAGTTTCCACAATTAGGCTCCCAGTTCCACAGTTTTCCTCCTGGGCTCCTTCAGAACTCAAGAGAGTGGAAAGCTTCTAGCCCCGGTGATTACATCTAACTTTTCTTCTAAAGGCAGTTTGCACATTAAAAGTCTCTCTGGTAACTTCTGCAGCAGGGGCTGAGGTAGAGAGAGTTCCCCCCTTTCTCCCCTCCTCTCCTCAGCAAGGTCCCGTCTCAGCCCTGGTCCCCAGAGACCATCATTCCCCAGTTTCTCCCTCTGGTGGTTTCAAAGGAGCTCTTGTAGTGCCCTTCTAGCTTAGGGTCATCTGTGCGCAGCAGGGCCACACTCTGGCCTTCCCTGACCCCCACATTAAAGTACATGCTACCGTTTTTATTTTGTTCATTGTAGGGAAAGGGGAGGAGGGTGTTTAGAAGATAGATGTCTTTTTCCTGTGATGGCCTCTTTGACTTTTATTTTCAGCCAAACAGGACTTTGGGAGAGTGCCTGATCTCTTTGATCTTCAGGATCCATTTATCCTGAGCTTCCAAAGGTATTCTGTAAAGTCTCCAGGCTTCCTTTGTCTGTTTTGTTTATAAACTTTCCCTCTTCCCCGAGTCTTCCTAGCCAATGGCTTCAAGTCGCCATATTCCTTCCTTCCTCCAACATCAAGTGATGGGGCACATTACTCAATAAATCACAGCCACATCAGCGTCATAGGCCCAGTCCACCAGTGCCAGGCCTCGTCTGCTTCCCTTGCTCTCTGGGCTGCACCCAGCTGTTCTGGAGAGAGATCACCTCTCTCCTCCACAGGCTTCACTGCAGTCTCTCATCTCGTTGGTATCAACAAAGAAGTCCCCTCAGTCTCTCAAACATCTCTGCAGCATTTCCAAGCTTTCACATCTCTAGTTCGGTCCCATTTTCCTGCTCAGATGGCTGTGGGACACTCTGTTATGTTTAAATTGCAGGAGCATGGAGCACCTCATTAAAAACTTACGCAGCTCAGCTCAGGTCCTGGTCTGTCTTTGTCATTCTTATTCACATCCACCTTCCTTCTCTAGTCACGTTTCCCTCAAATTGTGTGTGTCTTGCAATTGTCAGTGCCAGTCCTTCCTGTGGTCCACCCTCTGGTCTGTTCTTCCTGTGACTGCCCAGCATAATCTGTCCTGCAGAGTCTCTGGCCTGGAAGCCCCTCTGGCCTGGAAGCCATTTAGACTGAAGACTTCTTCAGTCCTTTGCATCCTGACTCATCCAGTTATTTCAGTCACAGCATAATAGAAGGATCTGCTCGCCCTGGCCTCCTGTCACATCAGCCACTCTCTCCTGACCATCTCTTCCAGCGGGGTATTTTCCCACCCTATTTGAATGGCAGCCTTAGCCTTTGCCTCCTTTAGGACCAGCAGCCTGAAACACCTTGGAACAAGGTTTCCATCAGGCAAGTCAAGACTAGCCATTCTTCCTTTAGGGTTCTTCTGTTGCAGCAAGTCCCCAAAGGATCCACGTGTCTGGGTAGTTGAGGCTGTTTCAGCCTGGAAACTGAGTGATCCCTTTGTCTCTCCCCAGGGAAACATAGAAGGGGGGAAGAAGAGGATAAAGTGGTTATGAAAGGTCGGGGGGATGGTGGAGGCATGGAGTGGGAGGAGGGTGTGGGGCCAAGAGGCAGGAGCATTGTTTTACCCTACTGCACCTCACTCCTATCCCCCCAGGCTGCTGGCCCAGCGGCAGCAACACTCCTTTGGTCTGCATGGGGTGGCGTGCGTGGGCACGGAGGCCCACCTCTCCCTCTGTTCCCTGGAGTTCTATCGTGCCAATGACACCGCCAGGTGCCCTGGGGGGGGCCCTGCGGTGGTGAGCTGTGTGCCAGGCCCTCTCTACGCGGCGTCCAGTGGCCAGAAGAAGCAACAACAGTCGAAGCCTCAGGGGGAGGTGTGTGACAGTGACTATGACCTTTCCCACCCAGGTGGAGAACCCCCTAGCTGGCCACCCCCTGACTAAGCACAGCCTTGACCTTTGAGAACAGAGAGGAGCCTTCCATGGGGTGGGCCACAGACCTGAAACTACCCACTCCCTCCCACCAAATGGCATTCATCTCCCAGGTCTACTTAGCTCTTTCCATGCTGATGTTTCCATTCACCTCTGTTGGGTACATCTTTCTCTTCTATAGGCCCGTGTACGTCTAAAGGGTGGGGCCCACCCTGGAGAGGGCCGGGTGGAAGTCCTGAAGGCTGGCACGTGGGGCACAGTCTGTGACCGCAAGTGGGACCTGCAGGCAGCCAGCGTGGTGTGTCGGGAGCTGGGCTTCGGGAGTGCTCGAGAAGCTCTGAGTGGTGCTCGCATGGGGCAGGGTGAGGGGGCATGGAGGTGGGAGGGAGAGGGAAGGAGGAGGTACACACTCCTGGGAGGTACATTCCTTGGGCAGGCTAGGAGTCCCCTGGGCAGAAAATGAAGGCCTAGTTACAACCTCCTGATCTTTGACTTCTGACCCTAGGCATGGGTGCCATCCACTTGAGTGAAGTTCGATGCTCTGGACAAGAGCCCTCCCTCTGGAAGTGCCCTCACAAAAACATCACAGCTGATGACTGTTCCCATAGCCAGGATGCTGCAGTCCGATGCCACCTACCCTACATTGGGGTGGAGGCCAAGGTCAGTCATACTTTCCACCTTGGTTCAGTCTCTATCTCGCACCTTGTCCAGTCCTGACCCCCAATCTGCAGTCTGATAGCCCCAGCCAGCTGCCCCAGGCCCTGCCATCCTGCAGCTCATACCTGATCCACTACTTACTAGCCCTGCCCTCTATGTGCCTCTGAATCATTCTTTGGCCACATCCATATTGCAGACTTCTACCACCCCACTCCAAAATCTCCCCCAGCTCTTCCATTCTGTGTCACTACAGATCCGACTCAGTGGGGGCCGCAGCCGACATGAGGGGCGAGTTGAGGTGCAAGTAGGGGGACCTGGGTCCCTTCGCTGGGGTCTCATCTGTGGAGATGACTGGGGAACACTGGAGGCCATGGTGGCCTGTAGGCAACTTGGTCTGGGCTATGCCAACCACGGCTTGCAGGTGAGTGGGAAGGAGAGGGGAGCCAAAGCTGTTTGTCTCCAAAGCCTGTGTTTTTGGCAGAGGACTGTGGAAATGATTCCCTTGGCCTAGGAGGCTGGATCACAAGGCCTCACAGAAACACTTCCATATGTCCCCAGGAGACATGGTACTGGGACTCCGGAAATATAACAGAGGTGGTGATGAGTGGAGTGCGCTGCACAGGGACTGAGCTGTCCCTGGACCAGTGCGCCCATCATGGTACCCACATCACCTGCAAGAGGGCAGAGACCCGCTTCACTGCTGGAGTCATCTGTTCTGAGAGTGAGTGAAGGGTAGGGTGATGCAAGTTAGGGAAGGGAGGCTCTGGACCACCCCTTTGTAGGGAAGAAGGGACTATAATCTGGAGGGGTAATCCTTCCCTATGGAAAAGCAATCTCAAACATTCTAGGGGCCGGGCATGGTGGCTCATGCCTGTAATCCTAGCACTCTGGGAGGCTGAGGCGGGTGGATTGCTCAAGGTCAGGAGTTCGAAACTAGCCTGAGCAAGAGCGAGACCCCGTCTCTACTAAAAATAGAAATAAATTAATTGGCCAACTAAAAAATATATATATAAAAAATTAGCCAGGCATGGTGGTGCATGCCTGTAGTCCCAGCTACTCGGGAGGCTGAGGCAGAAGGATTGCTTGAGCCCAGGGGTTTGAGGTTGCTGTGAGCTAGGCTGATGCCACGGCACTCACTCTAGCCTGGGCAACACAGTGAGACTCTGTCTCAAAAAAAAAAAAAAAAAAAACATTCTAGGGAGGGATGGAAGCACCCCTGTCTGTCCCTGCCCCTTGGCAGTGACATCTAACACTCGTCTTCCTTTCTCGGTGCAGCCGCATCAGATCTGCTGCTGCACTCGGCACTGGTGCAGGAGACCGCCTATATCGAGGACCGGCCCCTGCACATGTTGTACTGTGCTGCAGAAGAGAACTGCCTGGCCAGCTCGGCCCGCTCAGCCAATTGGCCCTATGGCCACCGGCGTCTGCTCCGATTCTCCTCCCAGATCCACAACCTGGGACGAGCTGACTTCAGGCCCAAGGCTGGGCGCCACTCCTGGGTGTGGCATGAGTGCCATGGGTGAGAGGGTAGGGGGTCAAGTAAACAGGCAAGGCCACGGGGATGGATGGAGCAAGCCTGCTGGGGGCAGAGCAGGAAACAGGAATTCCCTTGTCCCCACAGGCACTACCACAGTATGGACATATTCACTCACTACGATATCCTGACCCCGAATGGCACCAAGGTGGCTGAGGGCCACAAAGCTAGTTTCTGTCTAGAAGACACTGAGTGTCAGGAGGGTGAGTTGAGCCTGGAGTGGACTACAGCATCTCCATCACACAGCCTTGCCTTACACTGACATATGCCAATCCCTGCAGATGTTTCCAAGAGGTACGAGTGTGCCAACTTTGGAGAGCAGGGCATCACCGTGGGTTGTTGGGATCTCTACCGGCATGACATCGACTGTCAATGGATTGACATCACAGATGTGAAGCCAGGAAACTACATTCTCCAGGTGCCTGGAGTCTGAGGCTTCTAGATGGCAAGTGGGAGGAGTATTAAAGACACCTTTGGATCTGAGGCTTGCACCTGGGTTAAATAGCCTTTCCTCTCACTCACAGGTGGTCATCAACCCAAATTTTGAAGTAGCAGAGAGTGACTTCACCAACAATGCAATGAAATGTAACTGCAAATATGATGGACATCGCATCTGGGTGCACAACTGCCACATTGGTATTTGATGGGAAGAGCAACCCAGGAAGACTAAGGGATGGAAGGGAAACGCTTTCATTCTCTTTTCCTTAAGGTCTTTCTGTGTCTTCTGACCCACCTCTGGATCTCTCAGTCTCTCCACTTCTACCCACCCTCCCCCACAATGGGTCTGTCTTCCTGTGTCTGTACGGGCACCTCCCAAACTGCTTCTCCACCCTGCAGGTGATGCCTTCAGTGAAGAGGCCAACAGGAGGTTTGAGCGCTACCCTGGCCAAACCAGCAACCAGATCATCTAAAGTGCCACCACCCTCATCTGCAAACCACCACCAGCCCCTAATGGCAGGGGTCTGAGGCTGCCATTACCTCAGGAGCTTACCACAGAATCCCTGACGTCAGCAGGCCCACTGCACTCATCCAGCTGTGCACTATGGATGTGAAACTGTCATGCAGAAGATATCACCCTTCTTCATAGGCCAGCTGTCAGTTTCTGCGGCCAAGCATAGGGAGTCTTTGCTCCCAGGCCCAGCACCGAGCAGAGCAAACCACAAAGAGCAACACCTGACTAACTGCCCAGGACAACAAACGGCAGTAGTTCGTTTTCTTCAATAGGGAGGTCTGGATGGTCAGCTCCAGTACCTCTCCTAAGTTCAGGGGGATACAGCTTTACCTCTAGCCTTTGGTGGGAGAAAAGATCCAGCCCCCCTTCATTTTTTGACTATAACATGTTGCTAGGTATAATTTTATTTTATATAAAAAGTGTTTCTGCGATTCTTCAGAGCCCAGGGATTGGTGCTGGTGGTTGGAGGGACCTGCCCCCCACTGGGTCATTTAATCCTCTGTCCAGGTGCCCTCAGAGCCAAGGCTAGGACAGTAAGGAGGAAAGCAGAGCAGGAGCCTCATACTCTTGCTAATCCATTCATTCTGTGACCTCAGGGGTCACATATAAGGTCAGTGTTTCTGATCCCCGTCGGATCCGCACTGCCAGCTGGGATTGTGTTCGAACAGCTTCATAAACATCTTCAGCATTTTGTACCAGCTGCTCCCCAATGGCCAAAATCACATCACCAGGCCGTAGACCAGCCCTATGGAGAAAGAAAGACAGGAGGGAACAGACAGCCCAGTTCAAGGACACATGCACACCTCACTCATCTCCACCTCACAGTGCAGTCTCTCCCTCACCGGTGTGCAGGGGAGCCCAGGATGACTTTGTGGATGAGTACACCATGTTGAACATCAGGGAAGCTTGGTTCTCGAAGCTGTAGTTCAGCAAGGATGCTGGAAGTACACAGATCACCCTATTAGCCACACACAGGCACTCTCCCCACCTTGAGTTTACCTCAAGTCTCTCATCAACACACAAATATATGCACAGGACATACACTAGGTTCTACAAATACAATGGCAATTCGCTTTCTGCCTGCTAGCAGTTATGAAGTGGGATATGTACATAAAAGATGACTAATTCCAAATGACACACAGTGTTAAATCAATAGCACTAATGTCATTCTAGAATACTAAGAAAAACTTTAAGGAGGGAGTAGAACTTAAACTAAGCCTAAAAGGATGGGTCTGATGTTAATTATATAAAACAAGAGCAGCATAAATAAAAAAACATGGGAGTAGGAAATCAGGAGATCAGCTTGGCTGGAACAGAATATTCACATACAAAGTAGCCACAGCCAGGTCTAGAAGGCTGATTTAAAGATAGATGGAAGGTGGCCCTTAAAGGCCAGGTTAATGGATTAAAGGCTTTAACTCAAAGTAGTAACAGGATGAAATCAATCTGGTGACAGCACAAAATGAAATATAGTAAGAAAGTCAGGATTATGAGAAGGGTCTGCTCTTGTGATAGCTCCAAGTGTGAGGCAGCTCATCTCAGACAAACACAGAAATGAGAACAAAGCTCACAAGAGGTGCCAGTTGCCCACCAATGACAATGGTCACGCAACATATCACTACACCTAATGCTCATACCTGGGAGTCAGAGTCAGCATCATCACCCCAATGTAGCGGCGCTGGGACTCACTGATTCCAAACCAGGAACCTATGACAGAGGAACAAATGAGCCCACCCAGCTACATCGTTCCTTCCCTTTCCTCTCCTCCCAATAGACCACCCTCCAGCAAGGCCCAATGAATGCCCCTCCCCTGTGTCCCACCCACCACTTTAAAGGAGCCCCTTTCCCCATAAGTCAGGCTCACTCTTCTTTTCCCCACGACGAAGAAACTCTCGAAGGCGGTCAGAAGGGATGGCAAAGGAGATTCCGGCTGTGACCTTCATAGTGTTCACTCCGATCACCTCCCCATCCTGCAAGGACACAGCCCCCTGTTCCCTAGCCCAAATAGATCATAGGGGATGGGGGCACCTGAACAAGAATATCAGTGAGTGTCGGGGAGTGTTGATTACTGGGAGAAAGCCAACAAAAGACTGCTCAGAAACTTGTCCAAACATCCTTGAATTAGGGAAAACCCACTCTTCTCACACTGACCTGGGACAGGAATTCTTGGAAGGAAGAATGTCCCACTCACCAGGTTAACCAGGGGACCTCCAGAGTTTCCAAACTGCAGAACAAGGAGAAAATGTGGAGGAGATATGAGGATTCTAAGCCTGGGGGACATCATCAGTGCTTAGGTACTTTCTCCAAATTCTCTCCTTTCCTAGCTCATCAATGAATGGTTACATTTGTAGCCCAACCTCTGTATACAGGCTCATCCACCATTTATCAGTTGGTGCCTGTGTCACACAGCCTCTCCCAACTCCCCCAACCTAGTTTGTCATTTCTCTCATATCAGGACGCACATCAATAGCTGCATCAGTCTGAATGTATTCCACGTTGGTTTGGGGGAGTCCCAGGTCTCTGGCTGGACGCTGAGCAGAGCTAACAATGCCGGATGTGATGGTGTTCTGCAGTGCAAACGGACTTCCCATGGCAACAACAAACTCTCCTTGCCGGACATCTGCTGAGCGTCCCAGAGGCAGTGTGGGGAGAGGCTCCTAAGGCAGAATGGGTAGAAGAGACCCGTCATCTGGAGATAAACGCAAATAAACAGCTCCAACCAGACCTGGCTTACCCCGCCCCACACCTTGGTCTGAATCCTGAGTGTGGCGATATCTGCCACGGGATCCACAGCAGTGACCATGGCCTCATATGTGTCGCCACTAGGCAGCCTCACACGGACTCTGCGCCGATCAGCCACCACATGGGCGTTGGTGACGATGAGCCCGTCGGCAGCCACCACGAATCCTGAGCCGTTTGAGATAGGGACTTCACGGCCCGAGAAAGGGTGCCTAGGATGGGGGGAAGCACGGATGTGAGGAGGCTCTGACCCCTCCTGCTCACCCACTCTCCGGCCTGTGGCTTCAGTGTCTCCCGGTCTACCCCACCATTACCTGTCCAGGATCTCTATATAGACCACGGCAGGTGCAGTCTTCTCCACCACGTCTGCGATGAAGTTGTACTGGCTCCGGGGAGAGGTGGGCGGTGGGGCGGGGACTGCAGCGAAGACTGCCGGGGGACCCCGACCCCCGCCCCACAACAACAACAGCACTGCCCCCCCAGCGCCCAGCGCCACCGCCAGCCACGCACGCGGACGGGTTCCGGGGGTCCCCGAGGCCTCCCGGGCCTGGGGATCTGGGGTTCCCGCAGTCAGTCGTGCCCGGGAATCCCGGGACCCAGACGTCAGACATGCCCGGGTTTCAGGGACCCCCACAGACAACCGGGCCCGGAAACTGGGGGTCCCATAAGTCACCCGGGCCCGGGGGTCAGAACTTTCTGACGTCAGCAGGGTCCGGAGGTCAGGGGTCAACATGGGTCCCTTCCCCCAACGAGTCCCCCACAAAGCCCGCCATCCCCGGAGGCTCCAGCCTGCACCCCGCCCCGCCCTCAGCGCAGCCATCAGCTCCGCCTCGGCTGCCTCCTCGCCCGCCCTACTCAGAGGCGGCGCCCAGGACGCGAGCAGGCAGACTGTAGGACGCGGGGCACGCCGGTACCTGAAGTCCTCCAGAAGAGCACGCTGGGACCCAGGATTCCGGGAGGCCGGCTCCTCCCCCGCCCCGCGAATGCCGGGAGTTGTGGTCCTCGCGGGACGCGAGTTCTGAGGCGGCCCAAGAGGCCGCGGGGCATGCTGGGACTGCTAGCCCTTCCGGGGCGCCTCTGGACTTCGGGTCCCAGTACCCTGGGCTGATGCCCAAAGACTCCGCCTTCCCAGGAGTCCTTGCGGCCGGGTGCGAAGATGGCGGCGGCGACTGGGTACTCCTGAGGCAGCTGCGATGGAGCTTCCCCCAGCGCCGGGGCCGGAGCGGCTCTTTGACTCGCACCGGTAAGAGCCCCGGCGGGAAGAGGCAGGCTCTGGCGTCCTCTTGTCCTTCGGCGACCTATCACCTCGCCCCTCACCCCCAGGCTCCCGGGTGACGGCTTCCTGCTCCTCGCGCTGCTGCTCTACGCGCCAGTCGGATTCTGCCTCCTGGTCCTGCGCCTCTTTTTGGGGATCCACGTCTTCTTGGTCAGCTGCGCGCTGCCAGACAGCGTCCTTCGCAGGTTCCGACTCCAACGCTCGGGTAATGAGTGTCAGGGCTGGGCCTGGCCTGCTGCCGCACAGTTACCAACGCCCGTGTCTCCAGGTTCGTGGTACGGACCATGTGTGCGGTGCTGGGGCTTGTGGCTCGGCAGGAGGACTCTGGACTCCGGGATCACCGCGTCAGGGTCCTCATTTCCAACCACGTGACACCTTTCGACCACAACATAGTCAATCTGCTCACCACCTGTAGCACCGTGAGTGGGGGCGAGGCTGAGAACACCTTGGGGCGGTTTTCTGGGGCCCAGCTCAAGGCTTCCCCTCTCCCCACTCGAGTTTCCCATAGGGGATACTGAGCCTAATGCCCAGCCCAACTCCTCTACCCCACATGTCAGTTTTTCTCATTTCCCTCCATTTGTTTCATCTTGCTTTCTCTCTTCCCCATTCCCAGCCTCTACTCAATAGTTCCCCCAGCTTTGTGTGCTGGTCTCGGGGCTTCATGGAGATGGATGGGCGGGGGGAGTTGGTGGAGTCACTCAAGAGATTCTGTGCTTCCACGAGGCTTCCCCCCACCCCTCTGCTGCTATTCCCCGAAGAAGAAGCCACCAATGGTCGGGAGGGGCTCCTGCACTTCAGGTGGGTGAGCACAGGTATCTGGTGCCAATTGGGTAGATAGTCAAGCTGTGGGCCCTTGGGTTTTCACAACCTTCTTCAGCCCCTAATCCCCTCCATCCCTAGTTCATTTTCTTTCTGTCCACTTTTAGCTCTTTCCCCTGAATTATTTATTCCCTATTTATCTAGTTGTACAGTTTGACAGTTACCTGTTTTAAGTCAGGTATGAGCTGCTGACTGGGCTGGCTGGACTCCCATCCCACTCTCTCCTTCTTCTAGTTCCTGGCCATTTTCTATCCAGGATGTGGTACAACCTCTTACCCTGCAAGTTCAGAGACCCCTGGTCTCTGTGGTGAGTGTGTGTTAGACAGAGAATCTCTGGGGCTTGGAGGGGAAGTTCCCACCCCTGGCCCTGGCTTAGGCCTTACTTCATGCCCTCCCCTCAGACGGTGTCAGATGCCTCCTGGGTCTCAGAACTGCTGTGGTCACTTTTCGTCCCTTTCACGGTGTATCAAGTAAGGTATTAACTGTCCTCACTTTTTGGTGGCTGGGGAGAGGCTCACCTCAAGGTCAAGTAGCCTCTGCCCTGTCCATTTGTAGATCTTTTAATGTCAAGATTCTACTACAGAGGCAACTATCTCCCCGCCCTTA